AGTCTCCGACCAAAATGCACAAGGCTAGGGACTGGCTCTACACCACGCGTCCCTTCTGCAATTATCGCGGGAGGCCCAAAGGTTACAGGTACCCCTTCAGGGTGTTGCAGCTGGAGCTCTTGTCCTTCNNTACTGATTTCCAAGGCGCGGTCCCTTTCTCGATGCTAAAAAGGCCTCAGTGTGCAGCGAACTGTTCAACCTTGGTGTGCGAGGTGCTGGATCTCCGTCCACCACACTAGCCTGGTATGTTCCAAGCTCTGTCTCTGCCCAACACTAGCCAGGTATGCTCTGTGAGCATTTGCAGCTCTCTACAGGCCAGGCTTAAGCAGGGTTGGGCCAACTTCAGTCGCCTGTTCTCGCTGCTCAGGTCCAATGCCGTACACCCAGTGCAGCGCCTCCGCCTCTGGCAGTCTTCTCGGCCATTCGCTACGGTCTCACCAGTACCGGTCTCCCGCCTCGTGGGCCCGACATGCTCCGGCAGGTGGTGGCCAAACAGATTCGACTGGTCCTTAAGTCGCCGAGCTGGATCACACATGAAACCACACAGGCGCTCGTTCGGCGCTTCGATTTTCAGGATCCGGTCCTACAGCTTGCCCAGGCACTTCACAAAAGGCGGGAACGTCCTCTCTTGGACGTTTCGGCCTTCGACACACAGGCCAGGCGAGACTGGCGCAACCTCTTGCCTTCGTTCTTTGAGGATACCTTGCCGACAGCCACAACCCCGGCTTGCTCACCTAACAGTCCGTCGCGAGCCTCTCGGACTGCTCCCCATGCCTCCCGTCTTGTGGAGGTCACTTCCACGGCGCCCCGCCCCTTTGTGTGTCCGCACTGCCCTCAGACTTTTCCCACTCTCATAGCCATGCGCACTCACTGCACGCGCACTCATAAGCCACAGCCTGCTGCTGGCGCTGACACTGAATCGCCCCCTCCTCCCCCCAAAGACAAACCCACCCAACAGATGCTCAGGGCTAAATATATGAGATATGCCTTGGATGGCATGCCCCAATGCTCCCTCTGCAAGCGACACTTTGCTGCTTGGCCTCCCTTCTTGAACCATCATCATATGCGGTCCTGTCCCGCCCTCACTGAGGACCTCGTGTCGCCACCTTCGGTGACTACGGGCGACCAGCCTGTGCCACGCACCGCTGTCGGTCCGCAACCCGCACAGGCTGCTGCTGAAGTTTTATGCTCCCCTCAGGTACTCCCGCGACCACTTTGTGAAGACTCGGTTGTGCGCCCTCTGATCTCCTTGCCGGATTGGCGGGCCCTTGCCCTTCATCTGAAAGGTATGCATATTCGCGAGGCCCTCCAGCACTGCCCTCTTTGTCACCAGTGGTTCACGCGCGCCCAGGACATTTTTCGCCACTTACATAAGCAGCATGCACTGCAGAAACGCACAGACTGGCTTCTGGCTCGAGCTGTCGGAGCCACTTCTCCCTGTCGCTGGTGTGGCGCGACTGTCTCCTACAAGTCCCAGCACGCCTCCTCGTGCCCTATCCTCCAACAGGTCATCACTCTTCGCCTCTGGCTTTCCACCGCCTCACATGACGAACAGTCAGCTGACTCCACTTCAGACCTGCAGACCAAGGAGGCCGAGGCCGAATTGAGCCTCTTTCAGTGCTGGGGCGATCAGCCAATGGACCTCGGAGCTCTCACGGGGAAGCGACATGCGATGGCACACGACCAGGAATGGAACAGGAAGAGGAGGAACTCACGGACCACAGCAAGGACCGGGAGAAGGCCAAGTGGCAGCGACCGTCCTCCAAGGGTGGTTTTGGAGGGGGGCGGGGTCAGGGCAAAGGCGGGGAGATGGCGACAGGAAGCCGTCAGCAGCCCAACCGCCGATCGCAGCGATCTCCGAACCAAGAGCAACATCTGGCGGACCTTTGCTCAATAATGAGCAAGCTGCTCCTTCGGCACGAGGATCAAATGGGTATAGACGGTATAGATCGGAGCGAGAGTCAATTCGTGATGTTCTTCAAGCGGGAGTCTCAGGGTATCTCTCATCCCACAGTTCATCAAGAAGTCACAGCACTGGCACGAGCTCAGGGATCAGAAGAGCGGCGAGCTGACTCTCTCCCTTCGCTCTTTTCTATTCCAGACCCTGATAATGGAGTTGGTGAAGCGGCTCCAGGCGGTTTCGGAGACGCAGGCGAAGCAAGAGCAGGCTCGGCAGCTGCAGGTCTTTCTGCCGCAGAAGGAGGAGACGGACGAGCTCTTGACCCCCTTCCTGGTCTTCAACCAGGAGGGCCGGAGGCTGGAACCACGAGGGGACAGTCACCCCATTCCTCTCCCCCGCATGCTGGAGATCCTAGCGGAGATACAGAAGTCGGCGCTTCCTCCACTCTCCGTCCTTCGATTCCATGCAACGCAGAAGCTGGCCGGTCAGTTGAGAGGCCCCACTGTTCCCTTCATCCTACAGGTGGAGAGTCGCACGGACCACGCCACCATCCTCCATCGCCATCTTACCAGCCTGACCCATTCCTCCATTTGGCAGCTCGTCGGAGGGTCACTCAGGATGGAAAGGATGGGACGCTCGGCCTTGGCGAACGAACTGGCCAAGCGCCTCTCCAAGTGAGTGCCCATGCCTTACTGCATCCCGCTGTTCATATATCCAATTCTAGCAATCGCTGCTACGCCAACACGGTTCTGTTATGTCTCAATTGGACTATGCTGCATCTTCCACCTGCTCAGGACCTTTGGGCCCCGGCCATGCAGTCGATCATGCAAAGAATGAGCTCCCAGGCAGGACTCCCAGACCTCTGGTCGTTTCTGCCCTGGTCTCTCCTACATTCCCATTGGCATCGGGCTCACGTGCAGCATGATGCAGCTGAATATCTGCTCTATGCTCGCAGGTACATCATACCCAGCCTCGTCACCGGAGGTTGGCAACGCCGATTACTGGACTTCGATGTGGTCACTGGCACCCCTATTTGTGAGGTGCGTGATTGTGGGGAGACATGGCCTTTACTGCTCGCGGTGTCGCCGGCTCAGATCCCCTCCTCCCCTGGTCAACATTTGTCACTCTGTACCATCCTCGACAACTGGTACACTCAGGCCGCGGATGAGGTCACGGCACTTAGCTCAGCTCCATCTCTCTTAGCCGTACAGGTAAATCGTTTCGGCTACGATGGGACTCGCCCGCTGCGGGACCTCACTCCCATTCAACCTGACCCATGCCTGCCTGTCCAGTGTTTCCTCTCAGAGGCCGATAGTCTTCCGGCTGACGCCACAACTCAGCCTAAACAGTACAATCTTCGGGCTATTATCATCCATGAAGGAGCGAGTCCCGCATCCGGCCACTATAGGGCACTGCTCTACTCACGATGTGCCCGCAGTCGGCATCTCTTCTGCGACGACGGAAAAAGTCCGCAGCAACTGGATGAGCTACCAGCTCCAGCATACACGCATGGCTATGTGTACCTCTATCAGCTCCAGTGAGTCATGAGCACACGACAGCATACGGGGCATTCGTGCCAGGCTGTCGCTCAACATCGCTATATCCACCCTTGGTGGTTTTGAGTTCGTGCACTTGAGCGCGTTTCCGGAGCCGTGCAAATGCACGGTGCTCACCATGAGCCGGGGTGGCTACCCGTCATAATAGCCCCGCCAAGCGAAGACTTCTTTGCAGCGTCCGAAAGAAAGATGTATGTATGTATGTATGTATGTATGTATGTATGTATGTACGTATCTATGTATGTAGGTATACATTATATACACATACATATGCGTGAGTGCGCGTAGGTCATTTCAAGACCGATAGATTGAGATAGGCGAAAGACACATACAGAAGCCATGGGTAGATTTCAGGAGCACCTCCCCGTTGGCACGATGGTCTTCATGGCGCCGGAAACGTTTACAAACCCCTCTCCGCAACTGACTGGGCAAACGGATGTTTGGGCTCTGGGCGTTATTCTGACCTGGATCGTGACGGCCGTTGAGATCCTTGGCTGTGCTCGACTGCCTCTGGCGTCTTATCGTTTGGCCACGACGTTCTTGCAGCGTGACCTCGTTTGCTTTTGCATGCCCAGGCTCGGCAGCTTGCAACATCCAAACCTGGATCGTGAAGATGGCCGCGATTTTTGCGTGAAGTGGATAGACATGCCTCGTGCCAGCATGTGGGTTCGCCGGTAGTTTAGCCAGAGGGCGTCACAGCATTGCCACATGAAGGGGGCAAGAATGGAGTCCCCTCCCGCTCAGGTACCGGGCTTTCAAGAACCAAGTGCCTTGGAATCGTGCTCTGGTGCAGGGCCACCCGGAAATTACCAACATCCTCGACAAGGCCAGGTGGTGTGCATGCACAAGTGCATTGCAAAGTAATTGCTCCGGACTTTTCGGTCGTTGTTGAGACGCTGGAGGTCTTGGCGATCGACCCAGCTGAACGTTGTACTGCTTCTGACATCTTGCAGGTGCGTGGGACGACGTTTCTTTTCAATCAGACCTGCTGCGGTAGCTGGCGCAGCTGTTTTGTTACTCAGTCGTTCGGCGCTTTTGTTGGTTTTTGTTGCTGCCGCGTTAACAGTTGAACTCGCTGTAGTTGTGCTACAAGCGAGGCAGCAGTAGCCGCAAAGCAGAGACTTGGCTTGTCCTTGCAAGTTCTAGCCAACTTGTTCCGGCAGGCTGACTGGATGCGTGTAACTGATCCTGCCGCCTCCGCCTCCGCTGCACTGTTGGAGAAAGGGACTCTACTCTACAACTTGCGAATCCCGGCTTGTTCTGAGTTGTCATACATTCTCAACCGGACGTTCGATTCTGGCAAGGAACTTTCACGGAGCTGTCCGCCTTGGAGAAGAAGATCGTGTCCCTGGTGGCTGATCATGCCCCTGATGCGAAGACAGCACTTCTCCGAAGGAACTCATCGTGCGGAAAGGGAATGCTTTCAATTTGTTGGCCATACCGGAGTCGTGCAAGCGAGCGGATCTGATATGAGGACATTTCGAGCCTTCGACAAAACCAATGATGGCTTTCTCGAGATGTCCGAGTTGATCGAAGGCTTCAGGCGACCTTATCTACATTTGAGAGAGATCAAATGCACATGTGCATTTGCAATCTGGCACAAGCAAACCGAGTTCAACACACAAGACATGCAAGAATTGATGCTTGTTGTGATCTTATCCTCAGGGAACATGACGTCGACGTTGACGTGGCCTGGCAAGCGTTTTCCAAGAAGGATTCTTCACCCCATCGGAACCATACATCTGCTACACGGGGCCAGCAGAATCAGAAGCTCCAAAACTGCGACGTATCCCGTCGTTCTGAGTTCTAAGGAAGCAGCTATTCGGGAAGTGTTTGAGGCAATGGACTTGGACGACAACAAGCTTATTAGCTACTCGGTGAAAGCTGTCGTTTGAGCCCCCCGCAACCGCACGCAAGGTTGATAGTGGCTTATTGCACGTCCCAGGCTATCAAGAGTGGCTTGCTGCTACTATTGGGCCGAAGGTGCTTGAGTCTGATGCCTGGCAGCAAGATGCAGCGCAATAGTACTCGTGTTCGGCTGTGCGGGTGCGGGTTGTGTTGCAGACCTGTCTTGAGCCTCGTTCGCAGCAGGAAGGTGCGCTGCAAGCGTGCTTCCGGCGCCTGGATGCTGAAGCCAACGGCATCATCAGCAGAAGTGATATTGAGAGGCAGAAGATGCTGGATTGTGTGAAAAGCACAGCCGCAAGTAAATAGGGATCAAAAACATATTAATATAGTATCAAAAAGATTCAATTGAATTAGGATGAAACAATAATTTAGTATTAAAAAATTCAACTAGCAGGAAGAAAGGAAGCAAGGAAGGAAGGAAGGAAGCTGAAGAGACCAGAAGCAGGAAGGAAGGAAAGAAGGAAGAACGGAAGGAAGGAAGGCAGCAGGAAGCAAGGAAGGGAAGGAAGGAAGGAAGGAAGGAAGGAAGGAAGGAAAGGAACAAGGAAGGAAACAAGGAAGGATGGGAAGGGAGGAAGGAGACAAGCACGGCCCTGAAAATTCGAATTCCCCAGTAGCGTGACACAAGACAGAAGCCGTCGAAATCTGCCATTACTACTACTACTACTAC